ATGCTTGGAATTAAACAAACATTTTTTAGAGAAAATTTTAAATATTTTATGTGTAAACTATGAAATTGTAAATAATAAATATTTAGAACTAAAAAAACAAATTTGAAAGTTGTTCTACGCATTTCATTAAGAGAGGAAACTGGTTACCTATCTTAATATGCGTAAATTCAAACAAAATTTGCTGTTTGCATAAGGCGATTTTACAGGCAACTTTTTGTTGGAAGCACCAATCGCAGTCAACGTTTGAGACAACTAATCGCTTGTAAAATTGCATGTAAAATCGCCTCATGTGAACACCGTCAAACGGCAACGCGAATACTTTGACGCTGCACTTTTGGAGCTAGTTTTTTTAGAGCAAGTTCAAACTTATGGCGTTTTCTTTTCTACCGAACAATTTTGCCTTCTCCGCACATATACTAAGGAGGAGGCAATAAAAAGGCAACATTTTTTGTAGAAAAGAAAACGACATGAGATCACGTAAACTGCGCTTTTCTAGACCAGCTCGAGCGGTTAATCTAAATTTAAACCACAGCCGTTCTCTGGAAAACTAGCCCTTAGTGTTCGGGAGACATTATGCCGCCGATCAGAATATCAAACATTGGCTAACAAAGTCGCGATTAGTAATTCGTGCTGGTCGAAATGTGGAACGCGATCTACAACATCATAAGGTCTCGTTAAAGTTACTAAAGCCATTCAGTGAAAGGGGTTATTCAAACTTTAATGAAAATTACTAACAATTTGTACTAATTTACTTCGTTTTTAAAAAAGCGTGCCGGCAGCTTTAACAATTTTATAGTGGTTTTACGTTCTTTGGCAAATTACGCTCTGTTAGCCATAAATCTTACTATTTTTTGACCGCCTTTGAATCAAGACCCCTGGACCATATGGGGAATTCATTTATATTTCAAATTGCATTGTCATCGTGATTGGAACTATGCTGAAAATTTCAAGTCTCTAGCTTGTCGGGAAGTCTGTTTAAAATCGATTGGAAATTTCCGCGATTTGCGCGGGATGACCAAGTTAAATAAAAGCTTATAAAAACGGTCTTACTTAACAGAGGTCGCCACTCTGCAGGCAATGGCAAATCTCCAGGTGTATTTCTGCCATGGAAAACAGCTTCTCATAAAAATACAATCGCCGTTCGGGGTCGGCGTAAAACTGTAGGTCCTTCCTCTTTGTGTGACAACATCAAGTCGCACGTCAGACGGAGAAGCTCGGCCAAAGACTAACATACATATATGTAAGCTCCAATCTATTATTATATTTATTCCTCCAAGAAAACTTATGGCAAAGGCAAAGTACTTTCCCAAAAATATTTCTTCATATTTACCTTAGGATCTGTATACTAGCATGGTAACGTGAACATTCTATTAAATATTTCTTCTTACAATTATGTTGAGTTTTTGCATAGGGTGGCATGTATGTAAGTATGTACGTATGTATGTACATTAGGGTGGTCCAAAATGCATTTGAAAAGTAAAGTCGGAATTTTTAAGCTCTCACCCCCTAGGATTGTTCTATACCAAAAAAATATACCCTTATTTTTTATTTTGAAATCAAAAAATATTTGGAAGTCATTAAAAGGGCCCAAAGTTTTTCATGTATTTTTATCTGGGGAAAGAACACCTTTTCGTAGAAATGGTATAGAATTCTTAAAAATCAATTTTCAAGAACTCTATACCATTTTTACGAAAAGTTTTTTTTTCATATAAAAGTACATGGAAAACTTTGAGCGCTTTGAGCGACCTCTAAATATTTTTTTGTTTCAAAACATTTTTTTCCAAATATAAAAATTCAAGGGAGTGAGAGCATTACAATTCCGACTTTTTGGACCAAATTCCGAAATCTTAGCGAAATCTTTAGGGGTATCTCTTTTCTGTAACGATTTTGTAACGAATCTTCAAAGAAAATTATGTGAAGTGGTTAATACGAACTCGTAAAGAAATTTCTATACGAAAAATAAAGAAAATTCTGAAAAAAATTCTGCAAGAAATTCTTCACATAGTAGCATTATTTTCATCGTAAAAGAAACGAAGTGTGCACAGTTTATTTAATTTTAGAAAATTCGGCAAAAATCGGATGAGATCTTTACGAATTCTTTTAAAGTTCTCTACAATTCAGAATACTCTGAAAAAATGGGGCACCAAAATTGCGCATATGGAAACCGTGCATTTAGACATAATTTCAGTTTCAACCGAAACTGTGCATGTATGCTTTATTTCGGTTTTTGCTTTATGCATTATTTCCGTTTTCAACCGAAACTGTGCATTACTTCGTTTTTTTTTCTCTTATGCATTATTTCGCTTTTAAAACGAATTTGTGTATATGCATAATTTCTGCATTTTCTCGTATGCATTATTTCGGTTTTCAACCAAAACTGTGCAGTTATGCATTACTTCGGGTTTTTCAAATGCATTATTTCAGTTTTCAGCCGAAACTGTGCATGTATGCATTACTTCGTTTTTCACATATGGGCGATTCCACTGTCACGGGTTGAACATTTGTTCAGAAAACATTTTCTTTCTTGTTTAAATTTAAGTAAATATAAAGTACTCAATAATTCTACATTTTTATAAAGCTACACCTAATTGACTATTATATGAGTTATTACAAAATATACTATTTCACTTTTCTGTGTGAACTTGATGTCTTATAATAAAACAAAGAACCAGGAACAGAAACAAAGCAAAAACTACAAAAAAAATCATGGCTTTATTATCCGAAATTCCTCTGTCACGGGTAGGACAACGTTTGTCACGGGTAGGACACGTACGAATTTTTATATGAAAATGAGCTTTATTGTGATCCATATATACAGATTAGTTATTAAAAAATATAATAAGCCAAGTAGGGGTTCAATCCACTCACGTTTTATCCTAGGATGGTGCCTTTTATATACAGTATATTTTGCTTTGCTGCCTCTATGCTTAAGTGCACATTTAAGATACCTACCCCAAAATGCGCATCAAACGCATTATTTTTAACATTTATAAGGAAACTGCTCCGATAGATGCATTCAACATACCTGCGCATTGGCGATACCTGCCTTAAAAATTGTGCGACTAGTATCAATTATCAAGGAAAGTATTGCGTTTACCTGCACTGGCCCTACAATTACCTAATTTTACAACCTTTTATTTATTTTGCTCATCTCGCAGAACAACGAAAATGGCTATCAATTTATGTAGTCATATAGATAATTAGATAACATTCGGTAAAAATTTCGCTTGCAGTAATTTCTACATGGTAAGTGCTCCGCCAATATTTGGTTTCATAGGGATTCAGATACCTTCCTCATTGAAGTAGTAAAGAAAATTCGCTTAAATGCCTTTTCCGGTTATGTGCACAAGTTTTTCGTGCAAAGAAGGATGTGCAGCTAAGCAAAATATACTGTAGAATGAAATGCTTAGCAACGCCAGCCAAAAAAATTACTAAAAATGTNTTGTAACGAATCTTCAAAGAAAATTATGTGAAGTGGTTAATACGAACTCGTAAAGAAATTTCTATACGAAAAATAAAGAAAATTCTGAAAAAAATTCTGCAAGAAATTCTTCACATAGTAGCATTATTTTCATCGTAAAAGAAACGAAGTGTGCACAGTTTATTTAATTTTAGAAAATTCGGCAAAAATCGGATGAGATCTTTACGAATTCTTTTAAAGTTCTCTACAATTCAGAATACTCTGAAAAAATGGGGCACCAAAATTGCGCATATGGAAACCGTGCATTTAGACATAATTTCAGTTTCAACCGAAACTGTGCATGTATGCTTTATTTCGGTTTTTGCTTTATGCATTATTTCCGTTTTCAACCGAAACTGTGCATTACTTCGTTTTTTTTTCTCTTATGCATTATTTCGCTTTTAAAACGAATTTGTGCATATGCATAATTTCTGCATTTTCTCGTATGCATTATTTCGGTTTTCAACCAAAACTGTGCAGTTATGCATTACTTCGGGTTTTTCAAATGCATTATTTCAGTTTTCAGCCGAAACTGTGCATGTATGCATTACTTCGTTTTTCACATATGGGCGATTCCACTGTCACGGGTTGAACATTTGTTCAGAAAACATTTTCTTTCTTGTTTAAATTTAAGTAAATATAAAGTACTCAATAATTCTACATTTTTATAAAGCTACACCTAATTGACTATTATATGAGTTATTACAAAATATACTATTTCACTTTTCTGTGTGAACTTGATGTCTTATAATAAAACAAAGAACCAGGAACAGAAACAAAGCAAAAACTACAAAAAAAATCATGGCTTTATTATCCGAAATTCCTCTGTCACGGGTAGGACAACGTTTGTCACGGGTAGGACACGTACGAATTTTTATATGAAAATGAGCTTTATTGTGATCCATATATACAGATTAGTTATTAAAAAATATAATAAGCCAAGTANTCATCTCGCAGAACAACGAAAATGGCTATCAATTTATGTAGTTATATAGATAATTAGATAACATTCGGTAAAAATTTCGCTTGCAGTAATTTCTACATGGTAAGTGCTCCGCCAATATTTGGTTTCATAGGGATTCAGATACCTTCCTCATTGAAGTAGTAAAGAAAATTCGCTTAAATGCCTTTTCCGGTTATGTGCACAAGTTTTTCGTGCAAAGAAGGATGTGCAGCTAAGCAAAATATACTGTAGAATGAAATGCTTAGCAACGCCAGCCAAAAAAATTACTAAAAATGTACGCGATTTCCTAGCGTCTTGAAATTTTCACTTTTACCTACTTAAATTTAATGGAATACAAAACTGCATACCAAAAAACTCTGAACAAAAAGTTTAAAATTTTTGGCGCAATTGTTAAAGTTTGTTGAATTTTTATAATTTTTGTAAGAAGTTTGAAATGTAGATTTAGGTGGTTCCGGTTAGGTAATGTGCTAGACTTTTATTAAAAAAAGTATAAACATTAGATTAACAAAATCAAAAACCAAAACTGNTTTTTTTTCTCTTATGCATTATTTCGCTTTTAAAACGAATTTGTGCATATGCATAATTTCTGCATTTTCTCGTATGCATTATTTCGGTTTTCAACCAAAACTGTGCAGTTATGCATTACTTCGGGTTTTTCAAATGCATTATTTCAGTTTTCAGCCGAAACTGTGCATGTATGCATTACTTCGTTTTTCACATATGGGCGATTCCACTGTCACGGGTTGAACATTTGTTCAGAAAACATTTTCTTTCTTGTTTAAATTTAAGTAAATATAAAGTACTCAATAATTCTACATTTTTATAAAGCTACACCTAATTGACTATTATATGAGTTATTACAAAATATACTATTTCACTTTTCTGTGTGAACTTGATGTCTTATAATAAAACAAAGAACCAGGAACAGAAACAAAGCAAAAACTACAAAAAAAATCATGGCTTTATTATCCGAAATTCCTCTGTCACGGGTAGGACAACGTTTGTCACGGGTAGGACACGTACGAATTTTTATATGAAAATGAGCTTTATTGTGATCCATATATACAGATTAGTTATTAAAAAATATAATAAGCCAAGTAGGGGTTCAATCCACTCACGTTTTATCCTAGGATGGTGCCNACAAAAAATGATGGCTTTATTATACAAAAAAATCCGAAATTCCTCTGTCACCGGTGGGACAACGTTTGTCACGGGAAGGACACGTACAAATTTTTATATGAAAAGGTGCCTTTAGTGTGGTCTATATAAAGATTAGTTATTAAAAAATATAAGAAGCCAAGTAGGGGTTAAATTCACTCACGTTTTATCTTAGGATGGTGCCTTTTTTATATAGAAGAAAATGCTTAGCACCGTCAGCCAAAAAAAAATTATTAAAAATTAACGCGATTTCCTAGCGTTCACTTTTACCTACTTAAATTTAATGCTCTACAAAACCGCATACCTAAAAATCCTGAACAAAAAGTTTAAAATTTTTGGGCGTAATTGTTAAAGTTTGTTGAATTTTTATAATTTTTGTAAGAAGTTTGAAATGTAGATTTAGGTGGTTCCGGTTAGGTAATGTGCTAGACTTTTATTAAAAAAAGTATAAACATTAGATTAACAAAATCAAAAACCAAAACTGGTCAAAATGTAACTTAACTTAATCAGCTGACCACAAGGTTATATAGATAATGGACGAGTCCGCGCATCCCCTCCTCGTCTCCTGCGTCCACCTAAACAAACAAATAAAGCTTATCAGCCCTGTAAACCTACCTCTGACAACTCTCCCACACATAGCTGTCACGGGTGGGACATATGTACTTCTCTGTAGAATTACACTGTGGAACAAATTCAGGTTAGCAAAAGTTAGGTCGATTCTGAGAGTGAGGGGTGAAAATAGAGGCTAAATTAGAAGACCCGTATCGCGGCGTTTGTTTATGTTAGTTCGAATTTTTTTTAATCGACCTTCGAACTTTGCAGTCAAATGCCGGTTTTCAGCA